CCCAAGCCCTGGGAGCGCCTGGTGCTTGGCAGCCACTGGTGTCCATGCCGGACACTGAGCGAGAAACAGGAGCCTCGGGGTGATGGACTGCACTCCACTCTCTCAGAGGGGGCTGCGGGGTTATGTGTTTATACCCCGGCTGCCCGGGAACAAGTGAATGGTTAATACCTAGCTCATGTAACAGCAAAGCAGACCACAGTTTGCTGGACATGGGGTCTCATCCACGAAGACCCTCGGCCCCAATAACACAGCCCCTTTCCTTGACAAGGGAGAATCGTCAGCACTGTTTGATTATGGTTTATCTCCCCAAAGCTATAAATTAATGGTGCTAAGAGAACACAAACATAATCTGATTTAGGTGGTTAGAGATGAGTCATTTGGGACGCAATTAGATTTAGATAATATCATTAGCATGAGTCCCATGATTGTGAATCAGGAGCATTTTAAAGAGGTACAGAGCTGGGCACCGGTGGCTTACACCTGTAATCCTAGCAACTCAGGAGGCTGAGATCTGAGGATTGTGGCTCAAAGACAGTCTAGGCAGGAAAATCTGTGAAACTCTTTATCTCCAATTAACCACCAAAAAGCCAGAAGTGGAGCTCAGCTTTGAGCATAAAAGCTCAGGGATAGCACCCAGGCCCTAGGACCAACACAAGAAAAGAAGAGGAACAGAGACAGGCACGCATACTTCCTGTCAGCCGCTGGCAGCCATGAGGTGAAACTGACAAGGAAGGTTCATCACCAGAGACCGCACTCTGCTGTTCAGCCTTCTAGTCTCTGTAACACTGAGCTAAATTTTACACACACACACACACACATACACACAAAGTTTGCCTGCCTAGGGTATTTCATTACAGTAATGAAAATTAATACCAGCCCTCATCTATAAAATGAGCTTAGCCAGGTAGAAAGCCAGCAAAGGAACTGTGAGCAGGAAGGTGCTTAGTGTAATTCAGAGGACTCTCCTCTCTAGGTCAGTGGAGAGATGGGGAGAAAGACTCTGCTCTCTCTCCTGCTTTGGTACAGAAACGGTTGTAATCTGGGGCACTCCCCACCCCCAATGCTACAGCTCAGGGTAGCGTTTCCATAGGCTTCCTGCATTATCTCCAAGGAACTACTTTCTCTCTCTGCAAGAAGTCTGATCATGGTGTACACTCATTTCTTCTGGGTCTAATCAGGCCATCCTGCCCAGGTTTCTAAGTTACCAATTCCCAAGAGGCAGCTGTCCCCAGTAGGGAGAGGGGAGAGGTCAGCTCAGCGCAGGGACAGTATTTGCTCAGGCTCTCCTGCCACCTGGCCCATGTGCCAATACACCAACCTCTTTGCCAACCAGCCTCCTTCCAGGCCAGCTGTGGCTGCGTTGTTGTGAGCAAGAGCCTTTGACTCCGGTTCCTGGAAATTCTTGTCACCAGACTCCCTGTCTAGCCTCGGCTCCTGACAGTTCTCTCACCGCACTGAGAGGTCAGGCTGAGCTGCTGGGAGAGCTGGTGGAGACCCAAGATAGGTCAGAAGCTAAGTCACCATTGTCACATGTGGATTTAAACATCAGAATGCTAAGCCAAGCACCAGATCCTCAGCTGAGAGCTGAGGATCACAGTTTAAAGTCAGCCCAGGCAGAAATGTCCATGAAATTCTTATTTCCAATTAACCACCGCAAAGTGGGAAGTGGAAGTTTGGTTCAAGTGGTAGAGCACCAGTATTGAGTTGGGGGGGAAAGCAAAACAAAAGCTAAGCCCTGAGTTCAAACCACACACACGCACAGACCCCTTCTCAACAAAAAAGTGGATGTGATGGTTCATGCCTGTAGTCCCAGCTTCGTGAGAAGCCATAGGTAGGAGAATCTGAGTGGGACCAGTAACAGACAAGAACATAAACCTTCCTGAAAACTACCTAAAGCAAAAAGGGCTGGAGATCCAGCGCCAGTGGGAGAGTGCCTGCCTAGCCAGCAAGCAGAGAGCCTTGAATTTAAACCTCACTACTGCCAACAAAAGAGAAATGAAACTTGCACTGAAAACCTCCAGCGAACATAATCTACTTGGCCCCTGGATCCAGGCCACTGGCCCAAGACTAAAGGCATCTCCGAGAAGGCAGAGGAGGTCATACTTTATTTACAAGGATGGCACAGCTGGCTGGTGTGGAGGGAGCCTCGGGCTGTGGGAACCTGCCAATCCCGAGCTTCTCCTGCCCCACCAGGCAGCTCAGGAGGCCTTTTAAAAATGCAAATCTGAGCAAATCACTGTCCTGCTGTGGGCTTCTGGACACTTAAAAAGAAACTACAGCTGCAAGGATCTCCATGAACAAACAGCAGCCTTGGATTACAGCCCAAAGCACAAAATAAATACCCATGAGTCCACAGTGACAGCAATAAATGATTGAATATGTTAGTGAACGGAGACAAGACAGACCTCCAGGCCTGAGGAATGGGAAATCGTTTACATAGGTGTCCCTCCCAAACAAAAAGGAGCAGAAAGAAGGCTAAGGGACGGGTTAGGGAGGGGGGGGGCGGGGGGTGGGCAGAGAGGGAGAGAGCCAGAGAACTCTGACAGACACCAGTGGCCACCAGTGCTAATGGTTGATGCCATGAAAATGACACTACCTCGGCCACCTTCCTCTCCACATTAGTCACCCCAATCGAATCATCAGACCAGAATGCTTCAAAACTCTTATCACACTCAACCAAGTGCCTGAGGCTCACACCTGTCATCCAGCTACTCAGGAGGCTGAGATCTCAGGACTGTACTTTGAAGCCCACCCAGCAGACAAATCAAAGAGATTCATCTCAAATTAACTACAAAACAGCTGGAATTGGAGCTGTGGCTCAAGTGGTAGAGTACCAGTCTTGACTTAAAAAAAAAGCTAAGGGAGAGCACCCAGGCCTTGAGGTAAGCCCCAGTACTGGCGAGCAGGCACACATATGCACGCACATGCACGCGCGCGCGCACACACACACACACACACACACACACACACACACGCACAATCTATGAAGGTCATCAAAAAGAGGGAAAGAGTAGAATGAAAAGCAATGCTGCCCCATTATGGATTCTCCATCAGAAACAAGGGATTCTAAGTGAAAACCTCAGAGAATCTGGAGAAAAAAAAACTGTAGATTTTAATTAATGATAATGTATTAGTCTGTGTATCAAATTAACATACTATGAGATGTTCACAGAGGCAACTATGATCCTGGATAAATGAGAACTATTCACACTATTGTCTTGACATTTTCCCTGTATAGATAGATGGATGGATGGATGGATGGATGGATGGATGGATAGATAGATTGTACTTTAAAGTCTATTGGTAGAAAACTTTCTATCAAATCAGGTAGAAAATTAAGCCCCCAGCCCTAATCAAGATCCACCTGGTTTGACCAGCCACCTGCCTCCACCTGCCGAATGACCCTTCATTCCCTTCTATCCAGGCTCCAGCCACTTTAGGAGTTTGACTCCTCTGCCAAGCCTTCTCTGCCCCCAGGACCCTTACACATGCTGTCCTTCCCCTGGCAGTACTATCCTCACCCCATCCTTAGTCCATGTGACACTAAGCCTGCTCAGCCTTCAGACCCACCCCCTCTCCAGGTCTGTCTTCTCCAGGGGACCGTGTGCTCCATGCAGACTGTCTAGTATGAGTCTCTGGACCTCTGCGTCCAGGCACCCCTAGCGTGACACCCCAGCGTGGCTCTGCTGGCAGTCACTCCAGTGTGTCAGGGAATCTGACTCTGGAGCAGCCAGAACAGCATGGACTCCAGGGCATGATCCCTCGGTGTCCCACGGGGACAAGCTGGGAGCCTCAGGCCAGGTAAGCAGCAGCAAAGGACCGGGGGCCTGTGACTACCGCTCACATCCGTGGGTTCTGAGAGGGGCAAGGGAGCTGTGTGCCCTCCAGGCATTGGGACAAGACACGGGGCAGAATTCTTACAGATTTCAGTGAAAATCTCTCCTTAGACAGTGTTGGTGGTTTTTGTTTTTTGGTTTATTTTTAACTGAAGCATTGCTTAACAAATAATAAAATTACTCTTTCCCATATAGCTGCATGAATTTCGACAAATACATAGTCATGTAATCACCATTAGAATCCACATGGGATAATGTCATAACCCCAAAACACCCAAAAACCCAATTACAATCAAGATTCTTTTCCAAACCAGGCACTGGTGGCTCACACTTGTAATCCTAGCTACCCTGCTGAGATCCAAGAATTGTGGTTCCAAGCCAGCCCAGGCAAGAAAGTGCATGAGTCTCTTATCTCCAATCAAGTACCAAAAAGCCAGAGTGTAGTCCAAGTAGTAGGAGTGCTAGCCTTGCAGAAAAAAGCTAAGGGAGAGTGTGCAGGCCCTGAGTTCAAGCACCAGTTCTGGCATGCACACGTGCACGTGCACACATGCGTGCACGCACGCACACACATGCGTGCACGCACACACACACACACACACACAGAGGCAACCACTATCAGTTCATTGAAGCTTTTACCTTTTCAAGAATATCCTCCATTGTTAGAGGTGGTGGTGGTGGTGGTATTTGTTTTTGCTTTTGAGGTTTTGTTTTTTGTTCTGTTTTGTTTTGTTTTTTGTCTTTTTAGGGTGAGCAAAGCGGGGCAGGACACAGAAAGGGAGGGAAGAAGGGTGAACAAATGCAATCATGGTGTTCAGTATACACTAGGTAGAAAATGCACTATGTAACTGTGGGCAGGGACAGGAGGGGAAAATGAAGGAAGGGGTGATATTGTCCATTAGAGAAATGTATGCATTACTTGACTTACAAAACAGCAACCCCGTTATACACCTTAATAACAATAAAATTTTAAAAATATCCTCCAGCATGCACATTCATTCACACGTGCTGTTCCGTCTCCCTTTCAGGAACACTGACTTGGCACAAGCTTCTCTGGCTACAGGAAGTGCTAGCTGGCAAGGAGAAGCCTTGGGCCAGCCTACCACCCAGGGGCTGAGACCACCAAGCCCTGCTCTTCTCCAGCTGTGGCGGTGGCTTGCACAATACCTGCTTATGTCCTTGGCCGAATCCTGGCCGGTGGCAGTGGAGCCTTCTACTTCATGAGCAGCTGCGGAGGCAGGTGAAGCTGTGTGTTCTGAGATCGGAGGAGCAGCTCGACCCACGTGAGCAGCAGCCGGGGTGGTGCTGGAGACACAGTGAGACCATTCACAACATGTTCGTTAAGCCCCCACTCAACCCACCCACCAGCCCAGTGCTTTCCCGGGGTCCCCCCACCCTGTTACACTCAGTGGAGGCTGCAGCCACCCACCATCACCAGACCAGGCCCTCAAGTTCCTCCCTCTTCAGGATGGAGCAGACCCGCTCAGGTGTTGGAGACCCTCTTGAGTTTTCTTCTTTGGTGTTTATTCAGAGCAGAGGAATGTGTATGATGACTTGTGATCATGGTGTGGTGGCAGTGGGATTCTGAGCTGAAAACTAAAACATAATGTGGCAAAGTCTCAGGGGGAAGGAGGGCAGAAAAAAAACCCAAATATCCAAGACTAAGAAAAGTCTAGGTGAACAGGCTGATGGATAACTTAAGAACTTCAAATGGACCTGCCAGGGTCCCAACTCCTAGATTTCCCCAGGCAGGGAGCCCTGGAGGTGGGTGAGCGCCCCCTTCTGGACATCCAGGGAACCTCCCGGGCAGCCTCTGTGAACAGGAGCCCAAAGCAGGAAAAAAAAAAAAAAAGCACAGGCGTGAGCTCAAAGGAGTTTCTGTTTGTCATCTTTGGCAAAAAGCACTGCTAGGAATGCCATCCACAGCCTGGGAATGGTTTTCAGTGGAAACAGCCCTCCCAGCCTTTGTGGCCATCCACTCTGTTGTCCCCGGGGAGCTGGCCGGCTGAGGACCTCTTGGAGGGGGCCAGGCTAGAATTACGTGACTCACTAGGAGGGCCTGAAACCCAGCCTGCAGCGGCAGCTGGGGTTTGAGGTTTCACAGCCCGGTGGTATAGGCTCATTTCTTCCCTGGGGGCTAAATACCCACCGGAGTGTGGATTCCTGCCATCCCTGCCCTGGTCGTTGCCAGCCTTAGAGCTCGCCCCTGCCCAGGGGGCAACTTGGCCCTAGAGGGTGGAGGCCTTGGGCTCCCGCTCCCACACCTGGGAAGGGAATTCTCAGCCTTGCCTCAAGCTCTGCCTTGGCCTAGCAGGTTCTACAAGACCAGTCTGGCCTTGTCCCTCACCACCTGCCCACGTGCTCTGCCCACCCCTCAGTCAGGCCTCCTTACGTTCCCACGACGGGGGCCTCCTCATCTGGCAGCCCCCCTCTCCTCCCCTGGCCAACAATGCCTCACTTTCCAGGTATGCAGGATCCTATGCCAGCCACATCATGCCCACTTTCATACAAGCCCTTACATCTTCCTCCTTCCTGGGTATCACTCATGGGTCTCATGGCTGCCCTATCCCAGGGAGATGGGCCTGTGAGCCCCAGGAGCCACCCCTGCCGCATGTGCCACCCTGACCCAACATCCAGCCAGATCATCCACCGGTGGCATCAACAAAAAGGTACGTGGAAAGCCACAAAGGGTTCCACGGGCTGTGACCAAGTGTCAGGAGCAGAGCCTGAATGCGAACCCACACAGCTCCTCCGGAGCCCCAGAGAACTAGGGAAGAAAACAGGAGAGACAGCGCTCGGCAGGCCCAGTGCAGCCCGTGCATGGGGTAAACAAACACAAGTGCTTACAAAGAGCCAACAACACCTCACCTGGGCTTACAGGTGGTCTAGGGAGACCTTGTCTAAAAAGAAGGAGTCCGAATGAACAATGCATGCTATGAAGGCTGTGTGAGCTCGCTAAGAGAATGTTTCCACACTCTGCAAGTCCACCCTGGCTCTTACTCCACGTCAGGGAGTAGACCACTTACAAACACCAACTAAAACTGAGCTCTCTCAAGAGATTATGCGGGCCAGCTTCTCCCTCCACTCACACACAGCCCACATGAGATTTAATTTCATGCAAACGGAGCACGGCAGATTGTGTGCAGACCTGTTTCTTTGCAAAGATCGTTCACTGGCCGTACAAAGAAGAGAAGACGTGTACTTGTCTGTCTCGTCATGGTCCAAATCTTCACAGGCCTAATCCAGTCTCTAGGCCAGAGGACCCCCATCCTGACAGGGCTCCCCTCTTCATCAAACTGCACGGAAGGATCTCTGCCTTCCCACTATTGACAGAGGGAAGGAAGAGGCTCCAGATCGGAGGCCCCATGACTGCCCACAGACCTGGGATCTGATGAGGAGACACCCTCCCCCCCAAAAAAATCCCTTGGGGAAGCCTGAGAGTAGCAGAGTCAAGCCCCAGCACCAAGCTCCCCTCAGGCCAGCAGCCTGGACCCCCGCTGTCGGGTTCCCAGCCTTGTTCCCCGAGGGCCACCCTGTGGCTCCCATCCCTCCTTGGCCAGATCTCCCATGGCCACACCCTTCCAAAAGCACCAAACAAATGACTCAATAGCTCAATTAAGAATGGTTCCTCCCCCTGCCCCCTGCGGCCTGTTCTTGGACCATCCCCAATGGCCCCAAGAGGCTGGTTCTAACCAGAAAATGGGTGACTCACCACCAAGCCTAAGACACGGAACACCTCTTTTTTCCCCTGGCCAGTTTTCAGGGCTCGGGTGCAGGCTAGGCCCTGGCACTAGAAGTCAGGATTGTCGACTCTTCTGGTTCTTGTCTCATGACACCTCTACCTGATGAGTCACTCTCTTCTTCTGGAACCCAGTCTTCTCTGTCTGGCTACTCTTTCTCCCCTAAGCCTTGGTCCTCTTGGAGCAAAGCACTTGGGACACCTGCCAGTACCTGCCTCTGCTTTTGTCCCTTCAGGTCCCGGTCCCAACAGCTATTGATAGAGTTCCAATAGAGTGCATTCGATGCCTCAAACCCTTCCGAAGTCTCCAGCCCTCAGCATAGAGCGTGGGTGGCACGTGCCACAGTGCTCCACAGGGGCCCCCCTTGTGGGCAGCACAATGGTCCTACATTCTAGGAATGCCAGAGTCTACGTGCCAAGTCAGTTGGGACTAGCAATGGAATTTGCCAGCAAAGTGGAATGCAAGGCAAACTAAAGTTAGACTCTGGGCTCCACATGGCCAAGGTATTCGGAATTCAAGACGGAAACCAGGGGCCGGCTGAGTGTGGCACTGAGACCACCAGGGCCACACACTCAGTCAGCCCTAGACCTGGACTAAGGAAGAACTTAACTAGGGATCCCTGGCCCTTCCCACCCCTGACCACATCGGGCACAGCAGAAAGGGCCTCCCCTGCAGCCTAGCCAGCTCCTGTCACCAATCATGTCCCCCAGGACCTGTGGTGCCTGTCTTAGGGCCATTGTTCTCAGGATGGCCAGCACTCCACAGCTCAGGCAATGCCAGCTCCGGGCCCAGACCTCCACAGCCCTTCCAGACAGCGGCTAAGTTGCACACAGAGAGGCAGAGCACTGAGGCTAGGTTCTTAGCCTCTGCTTTGTCCCTCCGGTTGTCCCACTGAGGTCACCTCTGTCCTCTGGAAATGGACCCCAGGTCTGAGGAAGGCAGCGTTGCAAACGTTCATGGTCTTTTTTCCCATCTAAGGAGATGGTCACATTTTCTAAACCTCACTGGAACAATCAAGTGGAATGTGAATGCATATAGTGTTTATGTATTTGGAACATAAGAAGTATTGATTTAAACTTCTTGCTTTTTGATGAGAGTGACCAATAATCCACACTTAAACCATCATCATGTAGCGGTCAGCTATTACTGGTCAATCAAGGCATTCTTTCCTGTTAGGCCCAGTTGATAAAGACCTCAGAAAACTCAACTCTAGGAATGTATACTGCTGTCCTTACCAAAATCCTTAAAAAGGCTCACACCTGCTTAGGAAGCTGAGATCTGATGGTCAGGGTTCAAAGCCAGCCTGGACAGGAAAGTTCATGAAACTCTTATCTCCAATTACCCAGCAAATAATTGGAAATGGAGTCATGGCTCAAGTGGTAGCGTGCCAGCCTTGAGAAAAAAAAAAAGCTAAGGGACAACTCGCAGGCCCTGAGTTCAAGCCCCAGGACTAGCACACACAAAAATACAAAAATCCTCGAAAACAACTATGGTGGTCCCACTATCTGCTCCACCCGAGTCTCCACCTACTCACACCAGAGGACTGACTTGAGGACTAGGAGTCCACCTCTAATGAGATGCTCTTAGCGTTGAGTATTAGAGGGTTTGAATCCTTCTTGGAAGAGTTCCCATTGAGCTGAATGGATAACAACTTTCATTTTGAAGATTGGCTGGAGTTGCCAAATGAAGCCCCTGTCCTAGGACAAAGACCAGCGTGGCCCAAGCTGTCCCAGGAGGTGAGAACAGCCCCCAACGTGCAAGCTGAACCCACCACATCCTGTGGGGCCAGATGGCGGGAGCATCTTATCTCCTCATTCCATCGCCATCTGGAAGGCATTTAGCTCCACAGCCTTTCTTCTCAGCCTCTGGGTTTTGTTTTTTTTTTTTTAAATCCCCAAGTGCAGGGGATCACATAATAGAATCACGTAATGGGGCAGGCGTAAAGGCCAAAGACTCAGCTCAGACTGAAAGTGAGAAGGGAGGGAAGGAGGGAGGGAGGAATACTCTAAGATCGCTTGTTTACAGAGCACTGGATGGTGGATCTCATGGAGGCCTGAAAGCCTCAGCAATGGAAGGCAGGGCAAGGACTCAGAACCACTGCAAAGATCCAAAGACAACAGGAAGGTGCAGAGGGAGGCTGGCAGACTGCCTGGACACCCCAAGGAGTGTGCATCCAGACTCCTGCAGCCCTGGTGAGATGTATCAGCGGCCCAGCCCACAGGCAGCCCCAGCATGCTGGGGCTCAGTTAACCCTGAACTGACTGGTCCACTATCCCTTTGCCTGTGGCACCTTCTTAGCCTCTTTCTCTTCACAGAGGAGATACGTTAATTTTAAGCTTGCCCCAAGCAGAACTTAGGCAGGGAGGAAATAGCAACTGAGACAGGAATGTCACCAGCACCATCTCAAAACTCCAGGAGGGACCTTGATCGAGGATTGAAGCATCCAGGTTGCCAATTCCCACCATTGTCGTTAGCAGTTTGGTGGGCTCTAGGACCCAGGGCAAGATTTCCTAATTGCCCTGAATTCCCAAGGAGAGATCCAGGTTAGAAAGGATACAAGATGTG